CAATCCCTTCTCCTCCATTCTCCCCTCGGGATCTTGGGCACGCACGCACACGCACCCGACATGAGTTTAAGCCACCGGGTCCAGGACTCAAACTGCGGATGACCATGTGGGAGTCCAGCGACATAGCCATTATGCTAACTGCTGGTCCCTCTATTTTTATAAACAAATAGGAACTGCTCCTCAACAATGAAATCACTAAAACTGCATTATATCTTAAAAAAAGAAAATAAAGTAGAATGTCTTAGCTTGAATGATGATATAATGTAAAAGTAATTTAGAGCTAAGGTAGATGTTTTATCTTCTGCTATATATTCTAATCTCACTCATGTGCAACCAAATATCAAATATATTAAAAGGCCAAAAAGAGGAAAAGCAGGAAAGGATACAAAACTAGAAATATGTAAATAGACAAAATATTACTGGCTGTATCGACTCCACATAAAAGAAACCAAAAGAACAAATACTATAATTATTTTCTGATCCTGAGTCATCTAGTCAAGAGTTTCCCAAAATACATTCCACGTAACTCTAGTCTCTCAAGACACTTGTATAAAAGAGCAAGTATCAGACAACTGTGCAGAACCCTGACTACTGTATCCAACACCTGCCCCAACTTGGAACATGCGAGGATATACCATATCAAAGTTCTAACAAGTTCCACAATAAACAAACTGATTAACTTTTTAATTACTCTGGTATTTGCCTCATCTACTTGATCCAAAAGTTCTATTTTTTCCCTAAATAATGATCAATATCCCGGGAACTAACTTTTTTTTAATGAAACACACTTTGGAATAGGCTGATATAAACCAATGATGAAGCATGATAATACATCTATCTGTTGGGTTACTGGAAAAGTTCTGATGCATTTTTCTAAGCAAAACTGCATCATGACTTTTCTGACGACCCAATACTCCTATTAGAACTAAATAGGGGGAGTAGACTGATTTCACTTCAAGTTCAAATTCTACTACATCCATATTGACTACTAAGTTGCTAAATTAGGAAGCATTCTAGTGAAGCAACCAGATTTGGCAAGCTGCATGCCAGCCCACTCTGACACAGGCTATATCCTGTCTGAATGGTTCTCAGTAAAGAGAAGGTGAAGCAGTGCATCATAAGCTCAAGTTCTGGAGTAGACACTAGTCAAAACTGTGCTACTTTGGTCTGGACAAGTTGCTTTCCTTCTTAGGCCCAATGTTTGTCATCTGTAAAATGGAGATAATAGTGGCCCTTTCCTCCCATGATTATTGTAAAGGTTAAATAAGTAAATATGTGTAAAATACTAGGAAAAGCATCTGACATATTACAAATGGTCAATATATTTCAGTTACTTTCTAAAGTTCTGATCCAGTTCTTTTAAAATAAAATATAGAATATTATAGATAAAATATAAGAATAGCTTACATCTGAAATGCTCTTTAATTAAACAATTATTTTTATTTTAACTTGAGTCATTTATTTATTTATTTATTTTACATTTGACCAGAGAGGGTTAGAGCAAGAGAGAGAGAAGGAAAGTGAGAAAGCAAGCAGCCAAGGCCAGTACTCAAACCGTGGTCGGCCATGTGGGAGTCCAACATCCCCAACCATCAGACCATCCGCCGACCCCATCTGATATATTTTCACTGAAGTAGCTATTAGAGATGCCTATCATGGCCGGCCCTTTCCATATTTCTGCTAAACTAAACATACTTCACATCTATATTCCTAAATCCCCCTGCTGCTCCCAATTCTCACAAAAGACAAGGAAAAGACAGGAGAAAAACTGATTTCCCAACATCCTTCTTCCTGCTTTTCCTGAAACCTGCTTCATCCCTATTTCTAGAGTTTCTATAACATAAAAAGTCTTAATGATTGTATCTCTTTTTAGGATTTATACAAGTGATTCTACCTTGTAAGCAGATAAAAATAAAAAATAAGAAAAACTATAACACTGAAGATAAAGATTTGAGTTACCAATTATATAAAATTAAAATCAAAATTAAATTATCCTATAGATAGCAAGCTTCATTTAAACATATGAATTTAAAAACTAAATTAGTAGACCAGCAAATGGCATGATGGCCGAGGTGCTGGATCCTAAATGGCTGACTCCACAGTCCAAGTCGCACCCCCAGTAGATTGGAAGTCACTCTGGGCACATATGCATTTGCATCCAAAATCTTGGGAAAAGAATGGAAGAGAAGGGATTGTAGCATGGCCATCCCCTCTGGATGGTGATTTCTCACTTTTCCTCATTTTGGTGAGTGCATGTACCCTATAGCAAAAATCTACCAAAAAAAAAAAAAAAAACCTAGCAGAAAAAAAAAATTCTTAAAAACAAAACAAGTTCAAATAATTTTCCAATATTCAATATACATTCAGATCAAATGTTTATAATGACAACTTTATTATACCATATGAAAAGGAGAGGATGGGGAACCAGCAGTTAGCGTAATGGCTATGTCGCTGGACTCCCACGTAGTTGACCGCGGTTCGCGTCCTGGACCCGGTGGCTTAAAACTCACGCCGGGCGCGTGTGCGTGCGTGCCCAAGATCCCGAGAGGAGAATGGAGGAGAAGGGATTGCGGCGTGACCATCTCCCAGGGTGGTGATTTCTCGCTTTCTGTCTCTCTGTCTCTCTCTGTCTGTCTGGCGAGCGCACGCGCCCTATAGCAAAAATCTCTCCAAAAAAAAAAAAAAAAAAAAAGGAGAGGTTCATTATGATGTTTCTAGACAGAAAAATATTAACAGAAGTTCATTAGCCAGTTTAAAAATATAAAACTACATATTTTTAAAAGATTTCAATCAAACACATTAAAAATTTAAAATGGGAGCCAGCAGATGGCATAATGGTTACATTTCTGGACTCCCATGTAGTTGACAGTGGTTTGAGTTCCAGCCCCAGTGGCTTAAACTCACGTCAGGCGCATGCGTGTGCATGCCATTATCCTAAGAGGAGAATGGAGAAAAAGGTATTGTGGCTTGTCCATCCCCCCAAGGGGTGATTTCGCACTTTTTGTCTCTCTGTCTCCCTCTGTCTTTCTAGCATGTGTAAGCGCCCTATAGTCAAACAAACAAAAAAAAATCTCTCAGGGCTGGCAGGACATGAGGTGATTAAGGGCACTGAACTCCCACATGGCCAATCATGGTTTGAGTATCGACCTGGCAGCTTGCTTTCTCACTTTCCTTCTCTTTCTTACTCTGTCCCTCTCTGGTCCAATTTGAATAAATAAATAAAGTTAAATTAAAAAAAATCTCTTAAAAATATTTTTTTAAAGTAGCACTCTTAAGGTTGCCAATCAGCTACCTGGAATCCTCACTTTGCAGAATAAGTAGGATTCCAGACAAGTAAAATCTTACTGATACAGGAATATTCTAAAAGAGTTACTCTTTAAAACTGCCTGTCATGAGTTTTCTTTTAAAAAATAAACTAGTATTAATTTTTTATAACTATCTATCATTATAAGGCTCAAGTTACTGAGTTCAGACACATAGAATAAACCTTAATATTTGGAAATAAGAATCTTTAGAAAATATAAATATTTGCTTAATAAAAAAACTAAGTAAGGGGAAAAAAAACATAGTCTCAAAAGACATGAAAGTTAGTAGAAGATTTCCTACAGCTTTTTTAAAAAGGGGGCTATGGAAAATATAAAAAAAAAAATTAACTTTAACATAATAAATTCTAAGCTCAATTAACAAATAATCAAGTTAATTTTTAAAATTTAAAAGACAAAATTAACCTTAAAATTTTTAAACTGATTATACATGAGTGAAGTTAAATATTAAAAAGAAAATATTTACTAACCTTTATTTCCTAACATCACAGCAAGGTGTAAAGGAGTGTTTCCTAAAATTTAAAAAAGAAAAAGGTAAATTAGAAGGCATAAAAACATAAGAAAATTTACTTAAAAGTGGTTACAGAAATGTCAATGAAAGATTTTAAGTAAAAATAATGTGGCTGCAAAATGATACTAGTTATACGGCAAATTCAGTCAGAAAATACCATGGTCTCCAAGCATGGTTTCTACTTCTAAAAAAAATAAGAATAACCATTTTGCTTTGGAGATTTCTTTTCTGAACATACTTCAGGTTCTTCTTGCTGCTAATTTCTCCATCATGTCATTCTATTTCATTATGCAAACGATTTAAATACCTACTTTTCCTCAGGGATAGAAATAACCCAGCACCAATCTCCTCAAGTTGTTCAGCAATCTTACAAGACCGATAAAGAAATAACTATTATTGGGCTAGGCATGGTGGTTAAGGTGCTGGATCCCACATGGTCAACTTCTTGTTCGGAGTTCCAAACTGGCGGCTTGAAAAATGTCAGACACCTGTTCATGCATGCCCAAATTCCTGAAAGGAGGGAAAAACGGAGGAAAAGGGTTTGTGACATGACCATTTCCCATGGGGAGATTCTTTCTTATTTTCCCCTCTATCTCTTTTCCACAAACATATACGCCCTCTGTGGCAAAAATTGAAAAAAGGAGAAAAAGAGAAAAAAAAAAAAACATTGTTAATTAGAAAAGAAGAGGGTGTAGCTGGATAATGAAATATAAGGCAGAATTCCTAGTTGGCCTGTGACTCTTAAAGAATGAATAGAAATATGTAGGTGAACAAATGCAACAGATTAGCGTTCCAGGTTTAAAAATAATATTCTCCAAATCATGTTCAAGTGCAAGAATAGTTTATTTTTAGAAAACAAGAAAATTATCATGATCAGGTAGGGGTAAAGAACTTACACAAAAGTAGTAAATAATAAAACTGGAAAGATGAGCAGAAGACAAAGGCTGCTTGGCATCTCTGCGTTGTAATTTGGACTATATACTAATTTTCATATATTAGCAATTCTACAGAAGTCACCACATTAACAATTCTGGCCAATAAAATGAATTCAGTATTATCAAAGATGCATTTACAGGATAAAGTAGACCTGATTACTTTTTTAAGAAATGTGTATGTGATCTACCCCACTCTCTTAACGTGTCGAGGTGATTAAAATACACACACAGACGCGCACACACGCACAAGCAAAAACTTTTGCTAAATAAAGGCAGAATGGAATGCAAATTATTGGCAAAATCAGCAAGATAGTATTCTGAACAAAACTTAAAAAGCAGCACAAATAAATTTCACTAAATTTAAATTCCTCTATAAGTAATTTTGAAAAAAAAAAAGTCCATTACAGTAAATCTCTTGATCTTTTTTTTTTTTTTTGACAATAGAACTATAAGGTATTTATTTATCAATCCACTTATAAGGTAGGTGGCTTAATGCAAGCTTACTGACATCTTCATATATGATCCATGGAAACATACTTCTACATACAGACACTGACATTACTGTCTGGATACATTTGTAATCTGGAGCATATTAAGAATATTTAAACAAATAAAATTAGGCTAAACTCTCTTGATCTTAATTATAAGAAACAAGCAAAAAAATAACAGATTTGGGGAAATAATTCACATTAAATTTTTCAGAAATAAGACTAGAAATATAAATTACCATTAATAAATAGACAAATTATATCCCCCATTTCTATATGACTTATATTTCAAATTTTTAAACCTCTGAACTCTTCCTAGTTGAATTATGGATACCACTCTAGTATATACTGTTAATTATACACCGGGGGGACAGCAAGTGGCCTGATGGTTAAGGCACTGGACTCACACATGGCCAACCACAGTTCAAGTCCCTGACCTTGTGACTTGCTTTCTCACTTTCCCTTTCTCTCTCTCTCTCTCTGGTAAGCCCATATGCTCTGTAGCAAATTAAAAATGTCAGACACCTGACATTATGATGATAAATAAAATTATTTTAAAAAATCATACACTGAAAAAATGTCTCCAGAAAACAGGTTTTGTTCACAGTATTTCTTAAGCAGTAAGCCTCAACAGTTGCTGAATTAGTAGGTTATTGCTTTGCTAAAAGAAATACCTGAGACTGGATGGTTTATAAATAGGGACATATTGACTAGTAGCTAGAAAGTACAAAGACATAGGCCTTGCATCAGGCCAGCCTATAATACAGCCAACCGAAGCAAGAGGATGACAGGCAGTCGCTGAGAGAAAGAGAGGCCCACATCTCACTTTTATAGCAACCAGCTTTCATAAGAAGTAACCCTTTCTCATAAGAGCTAAAACTCACTGGTTGTCAAGAGACATCATGACTCTGTTCCTAAGAGTTGCCTCCATGATTCCATCACCACAATCCAATCAGCAACTACTAGGCCAGACCCCAATCCAATCAGCAGCCATCAGGCTGGACCATTTCCCAAAATCAAATTCCAAAATGAGAAACTTTGAGGAACAAACCATTCAAACCGTAACAGTTGCCAAATTATTACTATTTTCCAAACACACAAACTTCAGTCTTCTAAAATTTTAGACCCTTTAGTGAGGTAGCTATCATCATGAAATTCTATGTCATAATGTTCACAAAATGTGCATGAGTAAAAATAAAAATGACAAGACAGGGGCCAGCAGGTAGCGTGGTGTTTAAGGCACTGGAGTCCCACACAGCCAGCCATGGTGCAAGTTCCAACCTGGCAGCTCGATGATCACACCGGACATGTGCGCACATGGCCAAATCCTGAGGGGAAAATGGAGGAGAAAGGATTCTAGTGTGCCCATCACCCCAAGGGACGATTTCTCACTTTCCATCTTACTTTGTCTTTCTCTGTGTCTCTTTGGCAAGCATATGCACCCTGTGGCAGATACTTAAAAAAAAATAAAAAGAGTGACAAGGCAAATGAAAAAAGTAGTTTTGGTAAGAAACTACAATTAAGAAAAAACATTTTTCAGGACTGGCAGATAACATAACAGTTACACCACTGGACTCCCACATGGCCAACTATGGTTGGAGTCCTGGACCTGGTGGCTTGAAACTCACACTGGGCACGTGTGTGTGCATGCCCAAAATCCTAAGAGTAGAATGGAGGAGAAGAGACTGCAATATGACCATCTCCCCAGGGGGTGATTTCTCATTCTCTGTCTCTTTGCTCACCAGCAAGCACACATGCCCTGTAACAAAAATCTCTTTAAAAAAAAAAAAGCATTTTTCATTGCATTATGTAAAGTGAGTAAAACTGAGTTCCCTTTCTTCCCATGTGGAAACCATATATTAATACTTATCTCAAAAACACTAAAGAAATATATACATACATACACATACACACACAAATGCATGCATACATATATACACAAACATACACATACACACACACATACGTGCACACACACCCCTATGTCTGCAAGTTTTTTTTCCCCCCAAAAAAACTGTAAGGATAGAGACTATTAATTCAATTTTCTGCATTAGAAACTGAGTAAAAGGCACAATTTTTCTACTATGCACCAGCATTATATTCAGTACAAACAGTAAATAAAAATGCTTAGGGACAATTTGAGCATTAAAATAAGAAAATGCTAAGGACAGTTTTTCACTGATACCAGGTTAAAAATTATCTGTGGATTATCTTTAAAAATTATTCAGTATCTTCAAAGCCTTTAACAAGTTTTAAAAAAAATGCAAGTGAGTATAATTTTCAATTTGATTGGTCTAGAAAAAGGTTTTCTTCTTTTACAAAATATTATATTAATCTTCCTAAATTTGCATTCATATACTATAATAATTTACCAAGACCAAAAGGTAATCATAAAAAGTAAACAATGGGAATAGCCCTGTGGTATAGTCGTTAAGGGAGCCTGATTCCACATGTCTAACACAGCAGTTTGAATCCAGTCCCTGAATCATGAAAAACACAGTGGGTACATAATGCATGTGTGTTCAAAATCCCAACAAGAGGGTAAACAGAAGAGAGTGTAATATGACCATATCCCATAGAAGGTGTTTTCTCTCTCTCCCTCTCTCTGTCTTCCTCTGGCAAGAGCATGAACCTTCTGGCAAATAAAAAAGCTTGTTGACAAATCAGCACCAGAAACAAAAGTTCAACACCAACTATGCCAAAATCAAAGCCTTTACTTTGGTCTATCATTATTAATTCCCAATTTCTCTTTTCCAGTTTAAGCTTTCATTGTAATATCTGATTATATACACAAAGTTTCTCTTCTCTAATCTTGTCCCATTTCAGACTCTAAGGCTAAACTAAAATAATAATTTTAAAACAACAACAAAAAAAATTGATGTTACACTTCCACTTAAAAGACTGGAAATGCTCCACATTTGATTTCAACATGGTATAAAAGGTTTTTCGTAAGTCCTTACTCTCCTCTCTTTTATTTTTGTCTCATCCTGTCTCTCATCTGAACTACACACAAATTCTCCAATAAGGAAGGTTTCCATGCTTTTACACATACTATTCCTAAATGTTCCTTCTCCATATGACTGACATATTATTAGGTCGTCAGGAAAGTCATGACCTATTTTTCTGTTTTTCTATGCAAAAATCTGTCGTGACTTTTCCAGCAACCCAGCAGTTGACCTTACATGGCTTAGCTCAAAACATCACCTCTTCAGTGAAGCCTGTCCTAAGCAAGCAGATGTCCCTCTGCTCTGCTCACAAAGTCCTCTGTTTTCTGCAGCATTTTTCACACTAATCTGTACTTAAAATTTTATATGTAAACATCTATTTCCTTCATATGATGTCAACCTCAGGGTGACAAATGCACTATTTTCTTCACCTATATATACCAATGCTTTGTATACAGCATTTGAACTTATTTAACAATCAATCAGCATTTGTAGACAAAGAAATAAGAGACAACTCTTAGCAGAGCAACCAAACCTTAACCAATAGTTACAGAATTTTAATAATTAAAATGCAATTAACTCAGGTATTTACTCTCGCAAGAGTGGTGAACACAACTGCTTCTGTAACTAATG